TTCTTACTTCCTGATTGTTGGAAATTTTGTCTCTAGAAGCATGTTTTATGGGCAATCTGTTTTCATATGCTCATACCTTACGTACCCAAAGCACACTAGGTTCAAACTTCAAACCATTGTTTTCAATGGTGAAAATTCGTTTCAGACAATAAAGCTGGACGCTAGTTTCTTTCTTAAATTTTTAAGTACTTATCTTGGCAAATTTCTGCTTTTCTACTCTAAACTCATCACCTTACATCTACTTGTGTTTTCTCGATTCAATTACCCTGCCTCTCTTAGAAGTGCTTATTGTAATATTGAATGAGGAGATTTAGGTTCCTTACCCAGATTGAATCGTGCTCAGAACATTGCTGGAAGGATTGAGTTCTAGTTTGCACCTTTGTTCTACACATGATGTCCTAAGGTTGCCCAAGGTTCATCATTCAGGCCTCTTCTTCAGGCCCCTTCATATTGGAACCCTACAATGTGATTGTTGCTTTCCGCATCTATTAGCTCAAAATCAGGTATACTTTGCGTTGCTGTGAATTGATAACAGGGTAGGTCTTCATGAACTATGTACGTCTTTAATCATCGACTTAGCTACCTCCTGTCCATTTATCATTTTATCTTCTTACATCACCATATGCTTATTATCCGCCCCATTATAACCCAATGAAGACTCCTTATGGGAGACTTGATTTCTTTTATTGGCATCATCCCTTCACTAGTTACAGTCTTCTTTTTCCCCCACGGTACTGCTATCCCGTGATGTCCTATTTTCACCTATTGCTGCAATAGCTCCCTTGTTGCTGCTAATCTACCCAGTTGTTCTTTTCCCCTCCTTACCTTGGAGTATCTTTACATTTTGAGCAGTGAGATCCCTCTTTGTTGGGAATCTTAGTCCCTTCTGAATTGCTTATCTTCTCCAAGTTCTAAAATTATTTTAAGCTCAAATTTTAAATTAACAAGTAACTTAAAGTTAGAAATTGTACAGTGGTTGTGTTTGTTGGTTTGATGATTGGTCTAGTTTTAGAACATTGATCTTGAAGGACTTTGATTTTGAACATGGTCCTACCAGATTTTAGGGCAGAATATTACTATTTTGATCACTTTGATGATATGAAAGCCTGGGAATTTATGCTCAGAAACTTCAACTTATTTTCTGAAGAGTAAATAAAACAATGAAATGTATGGAGCCCACGTATGAAAGAGAGAGAAAAGTGGGGAAGCATTACGTGTATTGACAATACCTTTGTTGTAGAACTAGACTACATAATCTGTGGATATTGTGTTCCTGTAATTGTCATATAATTTGGATTACTCCATTTAATTGTATCTTTCTTGCTTTCCCATAGATGTTTTCTTAGCCTGTATGCTCCTTGCTGGTACCAAAGCAATGGGGTATTGAATAGGAGTAAATATCTTCGAAGGCTTTTGAACAAGTCATGCTCAAGCAAGTTTTCTGGCTTTTTTCCGCTTTAAGTGGGCAAAACAAGAAAAAAAAGGGGGGAAAGAAACTATGTTGAACTGTTGTTCTATAGAAATTGTGGATATTATTGAAAAGGTAAGAGATTGTTCTGTACTAATTTCCACCATAGAGCATTAAATTAATGGTCAAAAGTCAAGTCTAGGAATTCCTCCTTTGATGAATAGGTATGCTTGTAATTGTCTAGGACAGTCGGACTACAGGAAATACTGTCCAATTGAGGCGCACAGGCTAGTAATACCTTCAATGAATAGTTTTGCTTTTAATTCTTTATATTGGTTCTGGAAATGTTCATTATTCCGATACATGACCTAAAATACCCAATTTTTTTAGGGCAGGACTTGCTTATAGCATCGCATGCTGACTTTGCTCTGCATTAGACAAAATACCTTTCATTGCTTCAATTTTTTCTCCCTTTGAATATTTGAATTTCAACCAGATTTCTGGTTTTTTTTTTTTTAACTATTTGGTATTTGGTGCTTTTAAGTTTTGACCAATTCGGATTCAGGCATCATTGGGTCCAAATTCTATTTTACATCAAGTGATCGTAGAATTATTTGTATTGATGATCCTTTTTGCTTTTTTCTTTTTTTTGGTGGGTCGTATATTACGTAGGGAATCAGGTGGGATCTGCTTTGATGGATGACCTGCAAGATCAGGAAAAGGAGCTCAAACAATATATGCTGCAACTTGAGAACGCTGAGGCTGCTAGGGACTGCTTGCTTTCACAGCTTAAAGATGCGCTTCTGGAACAAGTATAGATGATTTTGTAATCTTATATTCTGAGGCTTCAATTCTTGACAAGCTTTGTGCGATTGATGACTGCTTACTGATCTAAAGTTTTTCAGGAATCAAGGCAGGAGGTTGTCCGCACACAGTTGCTGGTGAGAATTTGCCCTTTCGGTCTTCATGGGTGCAACACTGTTATTTCCTTCTGAAACACTTTTAACTGTTTGTCTCTATTAATTTTGTCAAGTTTGGGTATCCTTGAGCGTATCATCTTGATTCCTCTGTATTAGGAATTATATTAGATTTTGCTGGGCTTTCACTGTATACTTGGAGCTATCGATTATACAAAAGTAGCTTAAGCTACTTGGTTAGGACACAACATAAGCTTTTATACCCCGCATCTTTTTTTATTTCTTTCTGATATGGGATACTTGTCATTACTCTGTCCTGTGTGTTCTGTCCAATTCTCATTTTGTCCCCGCTAAATTAACTGAAAATTTTGACTTGAGACTGTTTATAATGTTTTCGTGTGAAAATAATATATGTGGAACTATTTTAACTTTCTATACGACAAAAGAACGGATTTCTGTAATGGCAATATGCCTTTGGGTTCTCTTCATAGGCCTTTCTTTCTCTTTTTTCTTTTTTTTCTGTGTTCTCAGTCTCCTTGAATTCTTTTTGTCATGGTTTAATCTTGAAAACTGTTTTTCTATTGCGTTAGATCGCACATCATGTGATCTATCTTGTCTTGTTATTGATAAATATGCCAATGCTCGTAATTCATGTCAATTCTTTCTTTTCACCATGGGATGGTTTGATTTTGCAATTTATTTTCACGCAACTTTTGCCATCCATTTAAATTGCAATAAGCTCATCAACTTCTGACCCATCTTTTCACCTGTGATATGTGATAAACTTACAAAGACATTACCCATGCATCTTAATGGCCTCAAAGTTGTGAGGAGTAGGACCCCCCCCCCCAAACTGTAGACATGTCAGGAAATGGTATCATCCACGTTTCATCATGCTTTCTTTCCACAATTGCGGGGACTTATTCTGCTATTTCTGCCTGTTGCTTATTTTGCTGATATTGATTCAGATGACGCCTATGTCCAACATGTCTGGCCCATCCAGATTTTATTAAAATTGCATTTGCCCTGCTGATATGATATTAGATTAAACTCCATTACTCCACCATTTTCTTTTCCAGAATGCGCTATCCAAAATTACACATCCCTTTTTCTTCTGCCCTATACAGAGTAGTTGATGGAGGTTTTAACTTATCAGTTTAATTTGAATTCTTAAAATCATGATTTTCAAGCTCTGCATTAAAGCAGTTTATTGACAATTTGTAATCTGAGAAGATGCTTAAACTTCCCCTGCATGGCCATATGGTGTACATAATGGCATAGAAAATGGAATGAAAAAAAAGAGTGATTTTGGAGATGAAAAACGACTATTGCTCCCCGACATTAAAAAGTAATAGAAGGGTGATATAAACTATGGATCAATGATTACAGGGCTCATGGCCATTGTAAAAAAGGTTTGACTAACCAAACGGTCTGGAAGTCTCTAACTTGTACATGCATTTGTGTCTCCTTTATATAATCACTTGTGCTTCTTTTCTTTTGTCTTGAAGAGTGGCATTGATGGTTTTATGGATTTGTAGGCTGCTCGGGGCCAGATTGAACGGGCAGTTAGTATAAGGAAGAGGCTTAACCCGGGAGCAGAAGACACAAGGATGTTAGAACAGAATGCTCCATCAGCTCAATTGAACAGCACCTCCACTCAGCCTCCTTTTAGCCAACCTCTTTTGTCATTTGCTCCTTTCAAAACTGCTGAAGAAGATAACAAGAAGGCAGCAGCGGCTGCTGTTGCTGCTAAGCTTGCTGCCTCCACATCCTCTGCTCAGATGCTTACCTCCATTCTTTCTTCTCTTGTTGCCGAAGAAGCAGCTTCCATGAATGGTAGCTCAAAATCCACTGGATTCACTTCTGGACTACCTAGGTTCAACCCAGAGAAAAGACCCAAACTTGAAAAACCATTGCCTGATGCCAGCAATTCTGATGCAGGGAGCTCTTCGTTTTTTGCCCCCTCATCACAGCCATCGATGGCTAATATGCCACTTGCACCTTCAATTAACCTCCAGGCCATGTCACAACCTAGTCAATTACAAAGTGCATTTGCTCCAGCGCCCCCGCCCCCGCCCCCACCTCCTGCCTCTCATTCTCCGGTAAATCAATATGTCCAATCCACTGGTTTGATGATTGGAGGTATTCCTTATGGATATGGATCGAATAACCTTCCGCCTCCGCCTCCGCCTCCTTTACCTCCACATGTAGCAGCAGGGTTATCAAGGCCGGGCACTCAGCCATCTCAGCAGTCACCAGCTCAGCAAGCACAGCAGCAGCAACAGTCCGCAACAGGAGGATTTTACAGGCCACCTGGCGTTGGGTTTTATGGGCAAAGCCATCCTTCAACCCCACCGCCAATACATAGGCAGTGATCATTGTTCTAAGGACCATTGGCCAACGTTGCCGCAACTTTGATCATAGCGAGTTCCCCCGGGACTTTGCTGTAGGCCGAGGATATTCTCCTAGGCTCTGTAACAATGTAAATTAGTAGAAAACTAGATGATGTCGGCATTTGCCTGTAGCCTTGTACACCTCTTGGGGTTCCCCCTTTGCAACTGCCCTTTCATCAGCGGTAGGTTTTGAAATCATTGCTGTACCAAAGATGTTATTCTCTTGAGTCAGTTATCGCGGATTAGAACCTGATAAAGCCCTCGGTCAATGTTCTTTTTCCCTTTGTCATTAGGAGCATGTTTACAGGGCAGTTCGTTTGGTTTTGTTTATAGATCAGAGTTCCTCGATTTAGTGAACAGTAGGAGCGCTACATTTACGTGCTGTTGTGTAGGCCCACCCAACTTCCACCCAGCCCAACCCTAACCAAAATTCTACGACTAGACGGTGACTTTATGTGCTGTTTGTAGACCTTTTTCTTCACAAATCCTGCTTAATCAGCTAATGGTGGCTGCTGCGAAGCGTTCGTACGAATCTTTCGAAACGTTACCTGAGTAAAAGAGATGTGTGAGCAGGTAAGAAAGAGAGGCGAGCCTCATCTTTATTCTTGTAAGTTATGCGGAGGTGAGGCTTGCCTCTTACTTTTATCTGTCCTCATCTTTTGTCTGATGAGACCTGGATGGGTCAACCACGTTATTTCCCTCGTAATTTGTACTCTAAAACGCTACAGATTTGTAGTTTGGATGACTGGTGGGAGAATCGTAAATAAATGGTTAAACTTTTGTTGTTAATTTGATTAGAGGATTGAACGTTATTTCTAATTCTAGATGTTGTCTCATCGTATTTCATTACTAGAAGAAGGGTAACAATGGAGACCGGAGATGGAGATCCGTTTTCGATATATTAAAGAATGTTCTTATTAATTAAACGGGCATTACTGTGCTACATTCGATATATTAAATAAAACCATTTGTACTTCAAAAAACATAAAAATAACGTGGCCGGAGACATCACACCTGCACATAAATGCGGCTCCCTTTATCCCTTACGACAAATGAACATTAAAATCATTTTATGAATTAAATTCAAAAATTATTTATTTTCAAAAACTAGTAATAAATACTTTAGTTTAATTTGCAAATTTGTACTTTTTTAAGTGGTAAATATTGTTTAACGAGTAAATTTATGATATTTTAGTAGTAATTACTCATAATTTAATGAGTTTGCGTTACATGATAATAAATTTATAATTTCTAAAATGAGTAATTTTTTTATGAAGTATAAATATTTAAAATATATATCACAAAAAATATTGAAAATTAATTGGAAGATTGGTGCCCATGTGGAGTGCAGACAAGGTTTACCTTAAAATAACGGGAAAATTATTTAATACTAATTAAATATTAACACCAAACGGAAATTAACTCAACTGACAACTGGTATGTAGTAGGCAGCAGGACATGGGCTACTTATCCGTAAAAGGTTTTGTTTTTTTTGTCCTTTTTAACCACTACTTATTTGTAAAAGGTTGAATCTTGCGGGAATCTTTTTGTTAAATAAAAATGGTTTTTCTATAAGTTCGGCCAGAAATCGCTTTTTTGTTTGTTTTTTCCCCTAAATAAAGTTTAGGTAGGGGGAGGCGCTGGCGCTGGCGCCAGTCAGAATTTACCCGAAAGTGCGTTGGAGATGTGATCTCCAACTTAAGAAGCACGAAAAGATATCCCAGGGAGCAAGTGACCGTTGAAAGGCTCCTGTAGGTTCCCTGGTTTGTTCTATTCTTCTTGTTTAGGCCTCTCGATCCTCTTAACATTTCTCAGGTAAGAGTCCAAATTCTGTTGATTCGCACTTGGGTTTCCATCATCGAGTTCCCTGTCAATTGACTAGGATTGCTATGATATCCATTTTGTCTGTGAGGTGAAGGCTTTAAATTTTAAAAAAAAAAATTAGGGTTTTTTTTCATGCCTTTGGTGTTTATACAATCATATTTTACAAAACGAATTGTTTCCCGCTGATTGAACTTTAGTTCAATTAGAATAAGTTGATGCTGCACACAACACCCCCCCCCCCCCCAAAAAAAAAAAACCGGGGGAGCCTGTTTCTCGTACTTGGAGTAGCGAAATTGAAGGGAGTAAGCCTTTGCTTAAGATGATTTTCAGCATTTGAACAGATTATAAATAGTTGTTACGTGAGTTGATTGGAAGATCTGTCTAGCAAGTGGAATGTATTTACTTACGTTCGACTGATAAAAGATTGGTGTAGTCTTGTTTTGATTAGCATATTAATGTCATCAAGAACATTGAGGAGGAGACTCCATCATGGGGATGTCGATGGAAAAAGCCGTGAGCATTTTGAGACATCAGGGACAGATTCTTTGAGTGAGCCCCTCCTAGGGGAACATGATCGTAGCGAGAGGGTAAAACCTGTTTCTTTTCTCATTTAAACCATTCAAGGATGCAATTCTCTGATTTCTTCTTCTATAATTATTATTACTCCTCCGGTCCTTAATATAGGACCCTTTCAACTAATTTGATTATATTAAGGAAGTTAGGTGAGTTAGTTAATTATGAGATAAGTGACACATTTTTCTTAAAACACCATAATCATCTTTCTTAATACCTCCTCTCCTCTTCTACTTGATTATGGTTGAGGGAGTATCCATAGAGGTAATTTAGAGAAAATTGATAAATATGAGAAATGGGTCTTATATTTAGGACCAAAACTAACTCAATAATTGGGTCTTATATTAAGGACCGGAGGAGTATCATTTTATTCAATGTTACTTGTCTTATGTTTTATTTTAGTTATCTACACTTGAAGATATATGGGAGGATAAAAAGAAGGAGCAGCTTCATTGGACATCGTTATTTTCACAACTCATAGCACAATGGGCACAGTGGTTAGGTATGCCTGTGATTTCTGGGCTTATTTCACGAACCTGCAATTAGGCATGTGCTAGTATGGTGTTGAATTATTTCAGTTTTGTTAATAACACCTGGTTGCTGGTGCGTTATGATTATTCAATTAAACTGCAACTAATGTGATATTTTCCCCCTTTTCCCATTAAACAAAGATCTTATGTTATCTGTAACATGTGGATTGCATCAAAGTTTTGCATTACAACTTAGGTTTGATCTACAATATTTTTGTTACTCATGTTTTCTAATGTGTCGATTCACCCTTTCCTTGTTGTTGACTGATGTAAAATAGAAAAGTATGTGTGGCTCTTTGTGTTTTTGTTGCATTGCTTAGATGTCCTAACCTGTATCTAATTATTTCATATTGTCATTGCAGCAAATATTGTGCTAGGATCTGGATCATTGATTGGGCGACTTATATCACTTCCTTCTATAGCTCTAAATAGAGAAAACAATAGGATTCTTCCTCCTTCTCTTAGCCCTCTGCAGGTATAAGTAATTATGTCTGAATTTCGGTTCTGGTCATTTGCTTTTCAGAGCCCACAGAAGAAATGTGTTCATTTTCTTTTCAATAATTGTTGACTGAATGAAGTGGCTGTATGCTGTGTGCAATAGTATTGCTTGTGTTGAGAATCTTACTTGCATTTGAATGACTGAGGATCTATGAAACGAAACAGGAAATATTGGAACAGGATTTTTCCTTTATTTGTAAGTTTTTAAATCCCGCTGGGTAAGCTGCTCACATTTAATGCCTGACAATGTTTTGAACTAAATTGCCTCCAATAGGAGAATACTTGTGCCTAGCTAAAAAATAAAATAAAATAAGTGAAGGGAAACAAAAGGAGGAACCTCTTCTTATCTTCCCTCTTAATGCTAATTTTTGTTTCATCTGGGGGCATCAGATTTAGTTATGAATGGAAATTTTTATCCAATGAAAATACGGTAATTGAACTCGTCACCATCCTATACCCCAAATTTTAATTTTTGCTGTAAATCTATTGTGCTGTTTGAACGCATTTGCATTTCAAGTAGAGAACTTTCACTTTATTTCTTCACACAAGGCTAATTATGAATATATATAAGTATTATCCATGTTTAAATTTTCATCTCATATTCCTGTCCCTTCTCTAACTTTGGCATTCTTGTTTTGCATTTGTCTTTTATGTTGAGATTGCATTCATATGGTAGAATATTACTCGTCGGAAAAATGTTTGACTTAAGAAAACCCAAGAAAAGGAAACATGAATGAATATCGCAGAGTTGGATTCATCTGGAACACCCCATGTTTCAGTGTAATTTAAACAAGTATATTAAATGGTTTAGTATATAGAAGGGCTGTCCTTCCATTCATTTCATGGGTTAAACTTTCAAGCTGAAGGGAATACTTCTAACTCAACAGGGAGAACTGGGTTCTTTTAAGACTGCTTCTCATTGTAGCTTTTGAATGATATAGAAGGTAAGAAAAAATACATGCGAATATGATTATTGAATAAAATATACCCTTTTTTTCATAGATTGTTCACTTGAAGGGTGTAGTTTGATGACTAAATTTCTCATGTTTTATATCATACCAAACATGTGGGACGTGCTGGATTATATTTTAGGATAGGCTGGTATGTTCAATATCGGTCAGCTTTTCTGTTTGAACATCCATTGGTATGCATTTGCATTCTGTCTTTGTCCTCCATCCATTTCTCTTAACCTCAACACATATTGATATGTTTATGGATGGATCCATCAGATAATATAAAATAATTAGATTGTAGCCTTTTCACTTTGCATACATTAGACTGTTGCATTTACTGGTGTCTTTAAAGAATGTACTATTTTGGCATCTCATTCTGTACAATTCATGGTTCTCTGCTATACGTTATATTTGATTATTTTTCATGTTGTCTTTTCTTAGGAAGAAAGACTCAGAAATTTACGGCACCGGCTTGAAGTACCCTTTGACAGTTTTAAAACTGAGCATCAAGTATGTATATCAGCTGATTGTGATTTTAGAAACCACCATTTCTGTCATTTAGTTCTGTACAATAGTTTGCTTATTGTGCTGAAAAGACATCTTTTCTGAGAATCTATCACGCAGGGGTACAAATTTAATAGTCAATAGACATCTTTTTTTTACCTGACTGATTTTTTAGTCATTTATATGCATCTCTGAATTCATCAATTCATATTTTTGCGTCACAGGATGCACTCAAGCAACTTTGGACATTGGCTTACCCTGACAGGAAACTTCCCGGACTTATATCAGAGCTTTGGAAAGAAATGGGGTGGCAAGGTGCGGACCCTTCAACAGATTTTAGGTATGTGGATAAATTTAAACTAAATATGAATGGGACGGCTGTGGCTGCATAGGATAGAGAATTTTATGGAGCATAGTTCGAAAACTAACAAGAAAGCATTGAGAATTTTTAGTGGTTAAAAGAAGAGACGTTATTTACTCATATCTAGAGTAGTCAAGGAAATTAGTAGATTTTATGGATATTTCATAGTGGCTCTGAAACATAGCTTTGATGACGAAGAAGTTTTGGTAGTCAAGTAAATTAGTAGATTTTATGGATATTTCATAGTGGCTCTGAAACGTAGCTTTGATCACTCTAGCAACGAAGAAGCTTTTTTTCTGATGTAATTTCTTGTTTTCAACGAGTTACATGAACTTTTGGACATATTTGGCAGGGGCGGAGGATTTATATCATTAGAAAATCTTATCTTTTTTGCCCAGAAGTATCCAGTAAGTTTCCTTCCTTGCATGGATATCAATTATATTTTTGCCAATAAATGTTTGTGCACTAACTGCATGTTTATTGCATGCTCCCCTATGTATGATCATGTCAATTCTATGTATTGTGCTTCATATTTGGCATAGTGTGCTTTTCCATGGATCAAAGACGTTTGTTTGGCACTGTTACAGGAATCATTCCAGCGATTATTACATAAAGAAAATGGAATCAGAGCAGAGTGGGAATATCCGTTTGCCGTTGCAGGAATTAATATCTCCTTTATGTTGGCTCAAATGCTGGATCTTCAAGCAGGTATCATGAATTCTCTTTAAAGAAAAAATTGTGTGTTGTAAGAGTCGCGTCCCTGCGTCTCAATGCGGATGGATGGTGAGGGTGGGTGTCAAGATGGAATCAATCTTGGTCTCGAGTCTCATCGTGGCTATTTATGAATAATTGGAGATTAAAAAAAAAAAGAAAAAGCAGGAAGCTTTTACAGCTGTGGTGTGTGCTGATGAGATGAGGTCGATAATGATTGAGAAACTAATTCCTTTTTCGTTCATAACGCCCTGCACTGTGAAGGTGTTCCTTGAGTATTCGCCCTCACATGTATCAATTGAAACAGCTGACGAGTTTATATGTTTCTTGCAGAGATTCCATCTTCTTCGACGGGAATCCGTTTTCTTCAGTTGCTTGAAGAGGATGAGATGGCATTTGACAACCTCTATTGTATCGCCTTTGAAATGATGGATGCTCAGTGGCTTGCAAAGCGTGCTTCTTACATGGAATTTAATGTATAAATTTTATTAACTTTGTGAATTGCTTTGTTTTCCTGGTCTACTTTTCAGCTTTTGATTATTCAGTGGTTCATATTTTTAATAGGATGTTCTGAAGGCCACGAGAACGCAGTTAGAGCGTGAGCTTGCTCTTGAAGATATCTCGAGTGTAAAAGATTTGCCGGCGTACAACCTATTGAGGTGATTTTCGTAGTTCATCATTCAGTAATTTGTACAAAGAAGAAAAGAAAGGAGGGAAAATTAAGGGTGAAAGTCAAGTTTATCTGATCTGAATTATGTCAGGCTAGCATATCTTACTCTCTGTACACCAGTCTATGTACTTTACCATCCTTCAGGCGATTGTCTCTTACTCCCCGGTATACCCCCATATGTTACCCCTTGGTTTTAGGTCGTGGTGAATGGACTCTGCGATTTCTATTGCAACGAGGGGATCAAGCAACATTTGTTTGGAATCACGTGACAAGCTTATGAAAGAATCTGATTTAGAATTCTATGAACAGGGTTGATTTTCTTTATTGATTAATCTGCATTTAATGTTTATTATTAAAATGGAGTATTAAAATATACAATCTCGTTAAATCAATTTTTTTATAACAACATTAACTAAATTATTTGAGCTTCTCTCCAAAAATGACAAAAACACTGAATAAACAATTATTTATAAAAAAGAAAAGGTATAGTTAAGGAAAAGAAAACAAAAAAACTGGAATTTTTTAAAATAATTTTAGCCAAAGTTAAAAACATTAATGTACTTAATGGAATTAACGGGCTATATGTTTTTAAAATGGATGAAAGTCCATATAGTTAAAGCAAAATATAAGTGATGTAATGTTAGAGCACTTTACACAATATGTTATTGAATGTATTTTTTTTTCATTATGTATTATTTTTTTTCATTATTAATAGTCAAATATATCAAAATTTTAATCAGATTAAGCATAAAATTGTAGCCAAAATTAGATTATTCATTAAGCCGAGGCTTTTTGAATATAGAAGTTGTCAACAAGACGAGATTATCCCCTTTCAGATTCATAGGGATGCACACTCACATTAAACAAACTGATGAACATTATCCCCTCATCAAATAATTACGCATCACGTGGATTAATTTGTGCCTGTTTCTTGATCATGCACTGAGAACTTGTTAACACGACTTCGGGTCAACATGACCTGTAAGCGATAACATTAAACAACATCTTTAATGTTATTACACATGTAGTAATTAATTTCTTCTCTGGTAGAAAACATCGCGGTTAATCAAATTACGTACCTGCTCATCCCAATCAGTCTTGCAGGTAAGAATAATTAGAATAATTGTCTGAACCAATGTTCCAAATATCATCCCAATCCAGATTCCCTGCAAATTAAACGCCACATAATGTAGATTTTCAAACGCTTGGCATTTTTAAGGAAGACACTAATAATATAAAAAGATTAAAAATACCTTGACTTGCAATTGGAGAAACCTGCTGAGTATAACTCCAACTGGGATTCCAATGAGGTAATAGCACCCCAAGTTCACATATGCCACAAGGCTTTGCCACCCTGCTCCTACAGCCACTCCTGTTCAATTCAAGACTCAAATTAAACCACTACTATGATTATCAAACTTAAAGAGTGTGTGTGTGTGTATTGATTGATTATTATTAATATTGAAGTCTCAGGAAATTAAACAAGAAATATATATATACACTTGTATATGCACCTGAGAGAACGGGTTGGACACTGTTTAATAATATAGAGAATGCAAGTAAAGGCGACAAATCTCCAACAGCAGCAGCTACTTGTTCGTTTGCAGTGAATATGTAAGCAAGCCTCTCCCTGTAGAACAAGAAGAATAAGAACAGAAGGAGCCCCACAGTGGATGACGTCAGCACCGTCACTGCTATTGAGAACTTGGCAGCCTTGGCGTTCCCTCTCCCAAGCTCATTTGCCACTCTTACACTGCAAATAAATTTTATATATAAAATTATGAAGATAAAATATTAATTATATTCGGGACAGTTATTAATGAGAGAGACACAGTGACTTGTATGAACTATATGAAGAGACGGAGAGAATGCCATTACCTAGCCGCAGCCAAGAAACCGAAGGATATCATCATTGCCCATCCAATGATGTTGAGGCTGTAAGAATTAAATTTAAAGGAAGTGAAAAGCCTGTAGGTATTATATATATCTGCCGGCCATTGATGCAATAAACAAGATGTATAAAATAGAAACACGTAACATTCAAAGTCGGAAGATTCAAAGTGAACCGTATATATAGAGAGAGCATCAATTTAAATTCAGCCTCTGCATATTCCATGCAGATGCTACCCTAGTTAATACATAAGTGAAGAATGCAGAAACCATATATGTCTATATATGGGCTGGTGAATGGATCAAAGGTGAGGGAAGAGTGATGAAGCAACATGAGATTGATGCAGAATAGTCTGTGATTTTAAGTGGTAGAACAGGTGATGGCGATCAAAGCGATAGGGTGAGGCGGGTCACCAGCAATTATGGTTAGTTGGAAGTTGGAATGTGGCCATCAGAGTGCAGATAGAAATGAGAGTGATGGATGAGACTCGTGACTAACAAGTGGAATGGTTTGATATGCTGAGATGTGGGTTGATGGAGGAAAGTAAACAATAATGGATGAAAGGAATTAGCTGAAGCCAGTAAGAAGGAAGGGTGGGGATGTCGAATTGGACGACGTTTCCGTTCTAATTATTAAATTAAATATATGAATAATTTAGATTTAATATTTTATAAAAGAATTTTTAATTATATTTTTCGCTATAGTTTTATTTTTTAAATTACATAGCCACTTTCAAGGAATGATGAGGAATTCAGGATTTGGATCACATGTCATGGACAGCAATATAATGAACCATGCCTGCAGAGAAAGGATGGTGTGCTGACTGGTGGCTAGCTAGCTACACGGTCTCACGATGGGGCAAACTGACAAACGAACGGACGAACGAACGAAATGAATGGACGAAACAACTAAAACAAAAAAAAGGAGAAAATTCAGAGTGATTAATTACCATATAGAAAGAGCATCAACTTCAATCTCTGCATTCTTCAGGCTACCAGTTAAGAGAACCAATATCGTGTTGTACCAGAGCTCTAGACTGCACAAGTTAACAAAACCCAAATCCTATTACCACTACTTCATTTCATAAAATTAAAAGGATCAAATTAGAAGAGACTCACCACAACATAGCACCGGATGAAACAGAAAGCTTGACGATAGGCCACAGATCCTTAAACGCCAGAAACGAGAAACCATGCCATGTTTCTCGACACCAACCACATGTGACAAATATAAACTGGCCGATGTTTGGAATCCAATAAGCCACTATGGTCGAAATCATTGCTCCAGGAAGGCCCAGCTTGTACCTGATGGTCAAAAGCCACGACAGGAATATATGAATGGAGATGGAGAAAGCAGCCAAGAATGATATGAGGATGTTCTTGCTCTGAGATTGCAGGAATGTCTGGCACGTGAATGACATAGCGTAGGCGAAAATCACAGGTATCGACCAGAGAGAAACGGTTCCTGCCACGTCAGCAATGCTTTCTTCTTGACCCAACACCTTCAAAATTGGGCTAGTGAAGAAGAACAGGGGAAGAAGAAGAAGACACGTGAAGTTGAGCACTATCCAGGATCTTTGGAGATACACTCCCATCATGAAATATCTCTTTGCACCATATGCTTGTCCACAGAGAGTCGATAAAGCACTGGACATTCCCAGCTACAGTGGTGATTTTCATTAATTTGATCGTGATTATATTCCATTGGAGCAGAGTGATGAAAAAAGAGAGACAGAAACATAGGAAAAAGCAAAAAACTAGGATGCATACCAGAATACCATTAGCGAACCTCATAAGTACAGTGAAGACAATAGCATAGGCAGCGAGCTCCTTGGAGCCAATATGACCGACAAAAGCTTGTCCCGTGACGTGGATGCCAAAGGTGGAGAATCGAGTGAATATGGCCGGAGCTGCTACGACCCACAGCATTTTACTCTCCTTCCATGTCCTCTTTATCAGAGGCAACTCATCGACTTCTTCTGCAGATTCTTCCTTTCTCAGCAGCAGTTTTTTTGTAGATTCTTCCATCTTCCTCAGTAGAAAGCTTCTGCAGAGTGGTGGATGTCAGTTTTTGGTGAGGATCAAAGTTTCAGAATAGTTTCAGAAATATATAGGAATTTCTTCTATTGCCTTTTGTAGTTATTGTTCTCAGAACTAATCATGGAGTCCTACGTTCGACGCCACCTACTTTATTAATTATATTTGTAAAAAAATTTTTATTGCTCCTCTCGTGCTTAGTTTTATTAATAAGCTTTGTTGGTTCATAAATTCAATGGGTATTTGTTGTCATTTTTTTTTAAATAATAATACTTGCATTGTATTTGCCACAAATTTCCCCCCAACAATTTTGAGTTTGGTGTTATTTTATATGTGCGTGTGCCCGCGCATGGACCTCATTATGACCTTACGAGATGCATAAAAAATACTGACTTGTCTGATTAGGTTGGCGAGAAAAAGGAAAGGGTGACATATAATTGCCCGATTAGGATCGTGGCTTTGTTATTAAAAAGAAGAAGAAATCTTAAGATTCTCAGAATATAGGATTCTCAGGGAATATAATATTGCAGTCGATGTGAGACGAGAGTTAAACTGGGGGAAAAGGGAAACCGGAGGAGGGAGAAAAGCAAGAAGCAGTGAGTCGGAGTCATGTGATGCGGACAAGAGGTAAATGGGGAAAAGGGAAACTAGAGGAGGGAGAAAAGCAAGGAGCAGTGAGTAGGAGTCGTGTGATGGTTGAGGCTGAGTCTTACAGTCAAATAGATGGGGCAGACTGTTAGATGAAAATTAAGAAAGAAGATGGTTCTCATTATTCTATTCTATGTACTACTTCCGTTTTTTATTATAAGAGTAGTTGACTAATTTAAGGAGATTAACAAAATAAGTTAAATTAGTTATTTGTAATAAATAAGTGTTGTCTTTCCTAAATATTCTTGTTAAATCAAGCGTGGTAACTAGAACTACTATTATTAAAAAGACTATCTTAAAAAAATATACAAATATTAAAAACAAAATAAATTGAGATCTTATATTTAAATAAAATAAAAATCAAACGAAATTTTATATTAAAACCGGAGATAGTAATTCATGTATGTTAATGTTGTTTTAGATATTGGTCCTATGTTGTTTGAGACTCCTACCTGTCAAACTTCAGTTGCTTCTTTCCTTTCGTATACATGAGGATTGGTTGTTGAATGTAATGTCTTAATAAACGTGATCTTTGACCTTCTGTCTTCCAGTCGGCTGCTCTCATTTGTCTTATTTAGGTATCCAATGAGAATTGAGATGTCCTTTCTACTTTCCCGACCTTTTATATATTTTTATATATTTCTTGAGCAAAATAAGAGGGGCCGTTCTCGAGGTTGCCGCAGTTCTTCCTCCCATCTATTGGTATTTCTTTTTTTTTTTTTTAAAATGCCTTTTGAGGTAAATAAGACTTTTCTTCAACAAAATAAAGAAATCAAATTAAAAATGACACGTCGTCTATCTAGTAATATGTGGCATCAGATTTTTTGGATCAAACTCCTGCTTTCTTAGCAACTTAACAGTTAAATATGTGTTGGCAAAAAAAACAGTTAAATATGACTTTTTTACCACATTTCGATAAAACTGCACTATTTAAATAGTTTTGGAGGTGAAATTATGTTACAAATAATTTTAGAATAATGAGTGCACTTTAAAAAAAAAAATCCTTCATGGGCTGCTTAACTTGTTCTTTTAAGATTGTGTCGTTGCTTAGTCAAGGGGATTATTATTGGAGAGAATTATAATCAAGTCCCATAAAAGAAAAATAACTACTTAAAGATTTAATAATAACCTGAGCAGCCTGTAATGACAAGTTTTAAAGTGAAAAATAACAACTTTTGAGATTTGTTTTGTAATTTTTTTTCTTTGCATGACACCTCGTTGTAAGTGTTCCTTGTTATTGAGATTAGGCAGGAGGATGTGGTAATTATGCAAGCAATTTTTGGCCCTTTTATGTCTTTACCTTCTCGCGATCATCGTTTCATCTCCGCTTTTAGATTAGAAATCAAACAGCTAGTAAGAGAAGCAAAATTCAGATTGCCCCTGTTAACTTCTATGTTAATTTAATCTGAAGTTCTGAACCCATCGAACAAACACTAATTAATCAACAAAACACCAGAAAGAAACACGCTTGCCCCCAAACTCTAAGACCCCGCTTGCTATCACGTTTAAATCTAAATTATTCATATATTTAATGTAATACTATCTTCAGTCCTAAATATAAGAGTTAGTTGGCTAATTTAAGTAAATTAAGGTAATAAGTTAAGTTAGTTATTTGTAATAAATAAGTGTTGTCTTTCTTAAAATATCTTTGCTAATAAAGAGAACTACTGTTATTAGAATAATTACTTTAAAAAAATACATAAATATGAGAGACAAAGTAAATTAGGATTAAGGTCTTATGTTTAAAACCAAAATAAAAGTCAAACAAGATCTCATATTAAGGACCGAATGTAATAATAAATAAGGGATTTTGTTAAAATACTATTATAATATGTCAGAATTTGGGCTATTATTTGTTAGATTTTTTTTAATCATATGTTTCACGACTCTAAAGTGAGAGGAGAGCAGAGAAACTGAAACATACATATATTAAGATGGGGAATAGTACCTTGACTTGCAAATGGATAGCTTTACCAAGTACAACTCCAACCGGGATTCCTACAAGTTAATAACACCCTATGTTCATGTATACCACAATGATCTGCCTCCCTGCTTCTACAGCAACTCCTGTTCAGATTACCAACTCACATTATTATAAATATTTTCATATATAGATTCAAATTCAACATATACGTACTGAATTCATTACAATACCGGTTAGTGTTAATGAACTATCGGAAATCCTCTGTGTGTGTGAACTTATGCGTATATTAGAGAGGATGCAAGCAAAGGAGACAAGTCTCCAACTGCAACGGCCACTTGATTTGCAGTGAATATGTAAGCAAGTCTGTGCGTAATGAAAAAGAATACTATGAACAGAAGGAACCCTATCGTCAGTGATGTCGCCACCGTCACTGCTATTGAGAACCCGGCAGCCTTGGCTCTCCCTATCCCCGGCTCATTTGACACTCTCACACTTCACATTTATATATGACTACGAGTTCGTAGCAGTTTAGTTTTCATTTTGCAGGTAATCAACGAATGACGGTTATTGACAGAAGGAAAAAACAATGAAAAGAAAAGAATATCGTCATTACCTAGCAGCATTAAAAAAAAAAAAAAAAACCAAAGGCTATCATCAACTCGCACCCAAGGATGTTGAGGCTGCAAGAAATGAGATTTCATCTTTAGAGAAAATGAAAAGCCTATCTTCATACGATGAGCCATTAATTAATGCACTGCGTAACTAAAGTGAAACATTCCAAAAAATGGATAAACAAATAAAACATTGGAGAGAGATCGAGAGAGAGAGTTCACCAATGATCACCATATAGAAAGAGCATCAATTTCAACCTCAGCATTTTTCGCATTACCAGTCAAAAGAACCAATATTGAGTTGTACCAGATCTCTAGATTGCAGGAATTAAGAAATTTAAAACCCAGATCCGATTAGCATATGAAGTTACTTCATTTCGCCAGACAATTAAAAACACACCCACTAGTTCATGCAGAGGGGCATCGGAGAGCCACCAAAACATAGCACCGGACGAAACAGAAAGCTTGACCACAGGACACAGATCCTTGAACGCCAAAAAAGAGAGACCATTCCACGTTTCACGACACAAACCACGCGTGACAGATATAAGCTGACCGACGCTGGGAGTCCAATGAGCCACTATTACTGAAATCATTGCTCCAGTAATCCCAAGCTTGTATTTAACAGTCAAAAGCCATGACAGGAATATATGAATGGAGATGGAGAAAGCAGCCAAGAATGATATAACAGAGTTCTTGTTCTGAGACTGCAGGAATATGTGGCAGGTGTATGACACAACATAGGCTAAAATGACAGCAATGGACCAAAGAGGAAGAGTCCCTGCCAAATCTGCAATGCTTTTTTCTTGGCCCAACATCTTCAAAATTGGACTGGAGAAGAAGAACCAGGAGAAGAAGAAGGAGACGATGAAGATAAGACTATACAGAACCTTTGAAGTTACACTCCCATCATGGCATATTTTCTTGCACCATAAGCTTGTCCACAAAGAGTCGCTAATGCACTAGCCATTCTGTACTACGTACAGTAATATATATGTTGGCATTCCAAGAATTAATTTGCAACTCAATCAGGGAAGTAAGATGATAAAGAGGGAGAAAGGAGACGAATTTATTAATTAAGAAAGCGTAGCAGGAAGCCATTAGTGAACCTGGTAAGAAGGGTGAGGACAAGAGAGAGGGCAGCGAGCTCGATCCTTGGAGCCAATATGACCAACAAAAGCCAGGCTGGCCACGTCGATGCCGTAGGTGGAGAATCGAGTAAATATGGCAGGGCCTGCTAGTACCCACATCATTTTACTCTCTTTCCATATCCTCTTTGCCACAGGAAACTCAAATTGTTCTGTTTCTGTAGATATCTCCATCTTCGCAAGAAGGAAGCTAATGAATTAAGCTTTTGTTGTGGTTGCCAACAACAAGTGTTGATCATTGTGAAAATCAAGGCTTAGAAAGGTGCTGCTCAGTGATCGTTAGAACTGATTTAATTATATGAGCAGTCCATTAGAACTGATTTGTATGTAGGCGAACGATAGACAGAGAAGCATATGCCACACAATACAAAGTAACAGAAAAACACACACACACACACATTCTGGAGTAAGTGGAAGATCAATAAACTCATCATTTACATATATAAGAACTACGAAAAATGAATAAGAAAAAAGAGAAAACTTTGCACATACCCGATGAACCCCTTTCGCCAAACCGTACTGGAAGAAGGAGAATAGAGATGACAAGAGCAGAGTGGTGTGCGCGCCCGTGATCATCCTATTAATTGGTTTTCTGCTAATTTATAATTGTTAGCATTTGTTAACATATATAAAAATGCTGTCAGAACCATCCAATTCTATCCATCACTGGATCAAATCACCGGATGGATGCCCCTTCCTCACTATTTTGGACCTTTCTTTTTTCAAAACAAAAATCTAATCATTAGTATTGTTATTTAGTAATGATGATAGCCTTAAAGTTAAAAACATTTATAAAAATCATATTTTTGATCAGCTTTAAAAAAATGTATTGCAAAATTCTAGGTATATGTGTAGCTAATATTTTTTAAATATAATTTTTTTCATATTAAAAATTTTATAATTAATTTCTTTTATCTGACAGTTATAGCTTGTTTGCGGTCGTTAATTTCTATTACAATAGATCGCTTAAAATATATTTAAAGCTAAAATGAAAGTTCATTTTAAAAAGGTAAAATGAAAAAAAAAAGGAAATTTAGTCGAAAATTTTCGTTTCCTTTTTATTTATTTGATTTTGAAAATTTTGATTCAAAGTCTCATAAAAAAAATTTGATTCAAAATATCTGATTTTTCTTGGAAAAAAAGATAAAAATAGATATACTTCTTGCATAACAACGGTTAAGTTATTGAGCGACGATAATGCAATACTCGTTCAGGTAATGATCGAGATTGTGCCTTTTGGACGAAAAACGAAAAATGTTAAGAGTGCTAAGCCCGGTAAAAAAAAAAAAACAAATATTTTTCTGATTCTAAATATAAGATCTATTTTGTGGTGTAAATTACACCATAAAATGAGTCTTATATTTAGGACAAGAGAGAATATATTAATTACAAAAACCTGCACGGTTAAAAATAGGAGATGGATATGCATTCGCCTAATTCGTGAGATAAAGGGAAAAAGTAATTTATGTAAGCTGGATTCTGTGTATTTATACTTATGCATGCATTATATGTTTGAAGAGAAAGACCAATTTTTTTAATAAAGTAATTGGAAACTAATTATGTGTGTTTTTGTAAAAGTTAAAAATTAGCCGAGTTTCATTCCCATGCGAGCTACTAGCTGTTGTTTAAGATTTAAAAGAAGGGATGATTTTTTGTTGGAAAAGATTTTTTTTATTTTTTTAATAAGTTATTTCAAATAACTTTTTTTAAAGACATCCCTCTTCTGTTTTGCTCAAGTTTTCCTAACAATTTTCTTATATTTATATGGGTAAATTATAAATTTAATGAAGTTTAAAACAAAGATTGATTTTGTTAAGGCTAACTGATTACTTGTCATGATGTTAAGTAGTACTATCTCCGGTCTTAATTATAATATTTCATTTATAATTTATAAACAATATCTTATAATTAGAACAGGAGAGAGTAACATTTGGTAAAATCAATTTATTCGTGGCCCATGCTCCTAACCAGGGCACGTGGTCATGTCTTTTCTTTTTCTAGGCACTTTTTGAGTCTCTCATTGATCTGTACTCTCCACTCATGCTCACCATCTGAGGTACTGCGATCTGTTATTTCCTTGTAATTGAGATACTCTCAACGTACGTTTCAAATCCCATGTTATTTCCATTGATCACGATAACATCTCTGTGTGTATCACACTTGTGGCATATGTTATATGGAAAGCGTCCACTTTATTTGGTGCTGCGCACTGGGATGTGTCATATATAATACCAATCATGCATCATCAGATGTGATCGTGTCTGTTTCTTCATCGTCTTCCACAGAAAACTTATTAACGCGACGTCGAGCCAATACTACCTGCATATATATGCATGTGATTAATTAACCAGATCATCATCATCTTTAAACACATATATATAGCTGTTATTAATTAAAGAGGCCGTGAAAGTGAATCTGTCTGTACGTACCTGCTCGTCCCAATCAGTTTTGTAGGTAATAATTGTCAGCACTATTGTCTGAACCAGTGTCCCTAATAACATCCCAATCCAGATTCCCTGCTAACCAAAATCTGCCTCTTCAAATGCTTCATTATATAGCACGACAAGACTTTATTATGATGAAAAAGCTTAATCACACGTACCTTGACTTGCAAATGGAGAAAGTTGCTGAGTACAACTCCGACCGGGATTCCTATGATGTAATAGCATCCTATGTTCACATATGCCACGATGCTTTGCCACCCTGCTCCTACAGCAACCCCTGTTCAATTCTCGGTGAATACAGTCCTTTACTTATTTTACAGTAGGGGTCACTGTTAAATGAACTATCACAAAGCAATCATGAAAATATGGACGTACCAGAAAGAACAGGTTGAACACTGTTTAGCAAAATGGAGAATGCCAGCAAAGGGGACAAGTCTCCAACTGCAGCCGCCACTTGTTCATTTGCTGTGAATATATAAGCAAGCCGTTCCCTATAGAACAGGAAGAATAAGAACAGAAGGAACCCTATAGTGAATGATGTCACCACCGTCACTACTATTGAGAGCTTCGCAGCCTTGGCGCTCCCTCTCCCAAGCTCATTTGACACTCTAACACTACACATTTATACATGTAAATACATATACAATATAATCAGACTTTTGCAATACACTTATATATGACTAGAAGTTCGTGACAGTAGTTTTCATTTCGCAGGGTAATATAAAAATGACAGTTGCTAACAGATGCAATGACTTGGTCGTCAATAGAGATAAAAGAAAGTAAGAATATACCATTACCTTGCTGCAGCCAGAAAGCCAAAGGATACCATCATTTCCCATCCATTGATGTTGAGGCTGTAAGAATTAAAGATTTCATCTTAAGAGACGGAAAGCCTATCTATCTATACAAGCCATTCATGCAATCAGCTCAACATGAACTAGCAACATATGTAGGATGTCCAGATGATTTAGAATGGTTACCATATAGAAAGAGCGTCAATTTCAACCTCTGCATTTTTCATGCTACCAGTTAATAGAACCAATATTGTGTTATACCAGAGCTCTAAACTGAAAAATTAACAAAACCCAAATCCTATTAGCTTCGTTATATGTAATACTCCATTTCGAAAAACAACTAAACAAATTCATTAGTTCATACGCACTCACCACAGCATGGCACCTGACGAAAGAGAGAGCTTGACCACAGGCCACAGATCCTTAAACGCCAAAAAGGAGAAGCCATTCCAGGTTTCAGGACACCAACCACATGTGACAAATATAAATTGCCCAATGTTGGGGATCCAATATGCAAGAATTGTTGAAATCATTGCACCAGGTATCCCGAGCTTGTACTTTATAGTCAAAAGCCACGACAGCGATATGTGAATAGCGATGGAGAAAGCAGCCAAGAATGATATAATGACGTTCTTGCTTTGAGATTGCAAGAAAGTCTGGAAGGTGAATGACAAAACATAGGCAAAAACAACGGCGATGGACCAGAGAGAAATAGTTCCTGCGACATCTGCAATGCTTTCATCTTGGCCCAACATCCTCATGATTGGGGTAGTGAAGAAGAACAGGGGAAGAAGAAGGAAAGAAGTGAAGTATAAGACAATCCATGATCGTTGAAGGTACACTCCCATCATGCCATATCTTCCGGCACCATACGCTTGTCCACACAGAGTGGATAATGCACTGGCCATCCCGAACTAGATACAAGAGAATATTATCAAACAGGAGATTGACATCGTCATTCCAAGATTGGAGAACTCATTCGGGAAATAAATAAAGAGGATCCGAGAAAGGAGGGAAATTTAGGAAATCATATATATACCAGAACACCATTGGCGAATCTGATAAGAACAGTGAAGACGAGAGCGAAGGCAGCAAGCTCCTTGGAGCCAATATGACCAACAAAAGCTTGACTCGTGACGTTGATGCCGAAGGTAGAGGCTCGAGTGAATATGGCCGGAGCTGCTACTACCCACATCACTTTGCTCTCCTGCCATACCCTTTTCAACAGAGGCAGCTCCTCATCTTCTTCTGGAGATATTTCTTCCTCAGCAGCTTTCTTGCGGATTCTTCCATATTTGCAAGCCAAAGCAAGCTTTTGTTGTGTTTTTCCTGTTTAATGCACATTGATGAATTGGGGTTTTTCATTATATAGTAGGTTTTTTTTTTTTCTTTGATGGGAACTGGAAGAGAAGTTGCTTACAACCACCTTACTTTTTTAAAAAATTAGAAGACGAAGCACGCCAGTCCTCTTCCGTAATAGAAATTGCTCTTGGCAGCTAGCTGAGTTCCACTCCAACACAGAAAGTTCGTCGGTCAATATATGAGAAAGCCAGCCAGCAAGGCATTATTGCGCACCCTTTTTCCCTCCTCCGCAAATCCCTGAGTTCATTCCAGATTATAGCTGTTTTACTTGGATTAATTAAGTTTTAAATTAATAAAGAATTAATTTAAGGTTGAGATTAATCTTGTACATATATAAATTCAATTGTAACTGTTGGAGGAAATTGTTAACGATGATGTAAACAATTAAAGAGATATGTTAGGAATATGTTTTTATAAATAACTGAATTTCATAGAGGTCAAACACGTCAAAAGTCAGTGAAGTGGCCATTAAATCATTTAAAATGGACACGTGACGGGAGGCGAGGCGGGGTGGGTGAATCCCTTGAGCCCCAAGAATGTGTGAGGAACGCAATTAGGACTCCTCCATCCCATTCTTCTGGGGACCATCCTCTGAAAAGTCAAGCCGCTCTCCTCACATCTCTCATTTCTTTTCTCCTTGTAAATCAATAATCATTGGCATTGGTGGAAGGGGACTCCCATATAATAATATAATGTAACGTAGTGAATCGAGATTTTATCCTATTTAAAATAGATATTCAATTGATAGGATTATTTTTAATAAAAGTATAAAATGATACCTTTTGCTCAGAAAAAAATTAATTTCATTTTTCTTAGCCACACATGACTCATTAAATAAAATTTTCATGCGAATGATAGGGCTGCAAATATGGCCTGTCCTAATATATTCAAATAATGATGATGATAAAAGTTTTCTTATATATTATTTGTACCCAAAAAAAATTCTTATATATTCGTCTCATTCAACGTAGAATTATTTAAAATAAATTAATTCAAACACTTGCTCAGCTTAACTCAACAATCAATCATGTTAATGTTCTTTGGCCAAGATAAATCATGTCGATGTTCATATAAACTAACAATGATTTGTCTTTATTTCATTACTTAATGTGGGTTGCATCAATTGATTTAATATTATGAATTTCAGTATGCCCGATTTCAAATTTAACCATGCTAGATATGAAAGTGGGATATAGGCTATAATACTCTTTTAACTCTTATCAATTTATTAAAATTAAAAATGGGCAAAATTTTATAGAAATTAAAAGCGATGGGATTTTTTTTTTTTCGTCACATAAAAACGATGGGAATAAATGGGTTAAATTGATAGATTCCATCTCCAAAAAAATCTCAAAAAAGCATCTTTGATTCAATTGGGCCTAGTTCTTCCCAGGCTAAAGATGGGCTGGCCTGGATGTGCTAGATCAGCCCACATATCCACCAATTTTTTTTGTTTTTGCTAAAGTATATGTATCCTCCTATTGAAGGCAATCCTATTCGAGGTACTGTCAGGTAGTAAATGTAGATACCTCTTTCAGCGGGGATTTGAACATTTATTCACCACGTTGTGGGAGACTAGTCCCTTCCGCTAAATCTAATCCCGTTGGTCATATCCACCAATTTTAGAGCCACTAAGCTGCTACCCAACCTTTTTTGGCTTGGCCAAAAGGAAAATTATTGTTATTTAAGTTAACCAAAAAAAAAGGGGGGGATTACTGATTAGATCTATGAGACATGCTCGTACTTTTCCGGTCATATATATAAGATTCTTATATTAGTGTGTATAAGGGTTTTATATTTAGGATTGAAAGAAAATTTAGCGCCCAACATGAGATTACCTCAAACCGGTCTGTACCTGAAAAAACAGTTTAACAGAAACAAGAAAATAAACCCAACAAATTCTTGTCCTGCCTGATCAACATAAAGATCCGACAACAACACAAAACAATAGGGGGATGAAGGGACCCTATTAGGTTGCGCGCGGATTTTGAACGATCTATACACTGCATAATGAATTAGTTATTTTTAAAATTGCCAACCACTTTAAAATATGAACAGATTCGCAAAAGAATATCTTTAAATTTCAAAATTTAAAATCAGTTCTACTTATTATATTTTAATAACAATTGACAACATTTGAAAAGCAAATAATAACACATTTTGTTAGTTATTTCTGATTTGGGGTTTTCAAATTTTAAAGGCATTTTTTGGGATTTTTCCAATTTTCATTTGCTTTTTTTAAAAAAATAAAAAGGGAAGATTTCAATTCATCAAAAAAGACTGTGCAGGAGAAAGATTTTACAGGAAAATTTCAAGGACAGAAAAATTCTTTACAGTGTGGTCAACTTTAATTCTAATGTCAGCAAGTATACTTTCAGTCATATAAGTCTCAGGGGTGAAAATATGATGGTTCCTGACTTCTCACAATTTCCAGTCAGTCTTGCAAAGCCCAATCTTTGAAGAAATATCCAAGCTTGAGTCACTCAATTTTTTGTTGAGCCAAGACACCACATCATTCCTGAAAAAATTGATGCACATGTCCTGAGTCACCTAATTTTTTGTTAACCCTGCTTTTGGTTTTTATTAATATTTTATGAACATATTCAACAATTAGAATTGTTATTGCCATGCTCGCGGAAAACAGATTTGTCGTCGTCTTTTTTTGTTTTGTTATTATTTTATTTCACTGGCTGCTGATAGAAACCGAACCAGGTAATCATGTATGCAATTTCTGGTCTACATTGGACGCATTTTCTTTTTTGAAAAAAACCAAAATTGACGCGACATCCCCAGTTACTACTTATATTTAATCAGCATTAGGTGTAAATTAATGCGAACCACACAAAATTTTCTTTATCTTTTTCTTTAAAAAGGAAAAAAAAATCAACCAAGCATTTTAAATTCACAGTTACATTTAACTAATAAGCATCATATCAGTATTAACATTTGTGGTAAACTTCAGTGTACATATCATTCTCGCTCTATATTGATAGGGATAAATTACAAATCATAAACCAAAACAATATAAATGAGGAAGAAACTCGAAAAAATATACACACAGGCACACGTATAAAGGGCAAGTAGCAATCTCTATTTTCTTCTTTCTTCTTAATAATTTGCAAGGAATTAAAAGCAAGGATCAATACAAATGTCCCATGAAAAGCTAGAGATGATAGGACGGGGTGTGTTAAGGCATTCAGAATCACGTTTATAGTCAGTAAAACGCAGGAGCATCCTCTCAGGGATGCTTCGGTGTTTTGCTGAAGTAAGCCACGTTTCTCAAACACGCACTAAGCAGATGGGCCAAAATGCAATTTTGCCATTTTATTCTTCAGTGTCCACCACAGCCCACTTCTTAACGCGACGCTTAGCAATCTCTACCTGTAGATTATGCAAATACTACCTCAAATTCTGCTATCAATTCATTAAATCGAAATTACTAATAAGCATCATATCTCGCTCTATATTGATAGGGATAAATACAATCATAACCCAAAACAATATAAATGAGGAAGAAACTCGAAAAATATACACACAGGCACACGTATAAGGGCAAGTAGCAATCTATCTCTATTTCTTCTTCTTCTTCTTCTTAATATTTGCAAGGAATTAAAAGCAAGGATCAATACAAATGTCCCATGAAAAGCTAGAGATGATAGGACGGGGGTGTGTTAAGGCATTCAGAATCACGTTTATAGTCAGTAAAACGCAGGAGCATCCTCTCAGGGATGCTTCGGTGTTTTGCTGAAGTAAGCCACGTTTCTCAAACACGCACTAAGCAGATGGGCCAAAATGCAATTTTGCCATTTTATTCTTCAGTGTCCACCACAGCCCACTTCTTAACGCGACGCTTAGCAATCTCTACCTGTAGATTATGCAAATACTACCTCAAATTCTGCTATCAATTCATTAAATCGAAATTCACAAATGATGCAGACTGAGTATAAAATACAAACGAGTCCAATACCTGCTTGTCCCAATCAGTTCTGTATGTGATGATAATGAGCACAACAGTTTGAACAAATGTTCCAAATAACATTCCTATCCAAATACCCTGCGAACCAGATCATTCAATATATCAGACTCTTTTTCCATTTTCTGGGAAGACAAAGTATGTCATATCATCAAATGATAGCTCACCTTCACTTGCAAATGGATGATTCTACCGAGCACAACTCCAACAGGGATCCCAATCAGATAATAACAGCTTATGTTTACATATGCTACGATGCTTTGCCAACCAGCTCCAATAGAAACTCCTTTTAACCAGCAAGGAAAAAAAGATATAGAAATGTAATGAATCCCATTTCCTATTATGTAACTGAATATGAAGAATGAAGATGTTACCAGAGAGCACGGGTTGGATGCTGTTCATTAACATCGAAAAAGCGAGCAAAGGTGACAAGTCCCCAACTGCCGCAGCCACCTCCGGGTTCGGAGTGAATATGTAAGCAAGCCTCTCCCTCAAGAACAGGAACACTATGAATAGTATGAATCCTATTCCAAATGATGTCATCACTGTCACCAGGATGGAAAATTTCGCAGCCCTTGGACTCCCTCTACCCAGCTCATTTGACACCCGCACACTGTAAAGTAAACCAAAATTCAGTTTCTTTTATAATTTATTGAGCTGATTTGAATGCTTCAAATTTTTTATGACTGTCAATTAAGTAGTACCTAGCAGCAGCAAAGAATCCAAGTGCTATCATCATTTCCCATCCGTTGATGTTGAGGCTGCAAAAGTATGGTGTTAGTTTTCTAGAGCAATGAAACAGTGGAATTAAGAAAGAATAGTAACAGTGGAGTTTGATGAGGTTGAGCTACCAAATGGACAGAGCATCAATGGCGACCTTGGCATTTTTCAAGTTCCCAGTTAGAAGCACCAAAATTGTGTTG